GCAATGGGGATATGGGGATAGGGATATGGGGATGGGGATATGGGGATGGAAATGGGAATGGGGATATGGGGATGGGAACGGGAATGGGAATATGGCAATGGTGATATGGGGATAGGGATATGGGGATGGGAATGGGGATATGGGGACGAGAACGGGGGTAGGAACGGGGATGGGAACGGGAATGGGGATATGGAGATATGGGGATGGGAATGGGATTGGGATGGAGATGGGATTGGGAATGGGGATGGGAATGGGGATATGGGGATGGGATTGGGATGGGAATATGGGGATATGGAGATGGGATGGGTATGGGGATATGGGGATGAGAACGGGGATGTGGATATGGGGATGGAGATGGGGATATGGGGGAGTGGGAATTGGGATATGGTCGAGTGAGGACTGGGAATGCGAATGAGAATAGGAACTGGGATGTGAGGAGTGGAATATGGGGAAGTGGGCTATGGGGAATGGGGATTGGGATGTGAGGGACTCAGAACTGGGACGGGCAGTGGGATGTGGGGAGTGCCTCTGGGAGGTGCAGAGCACTTCCCTGCGCAGCAGCTGCTCATAACTCTGCTCGCTTCGGGGTGACATCCCCACCACCCCACACCTCCTGTCGGATTCCCCCCACAGCCAGAGCAGGGACTCTGATCCGTGTGGAGTGGGCTCTGACGGCTGCTGAAGCCCTTCTGCTTGCTGCTCAGGACATCCTGGGAGGATCAGAGCCGCGAGGGCTGTGGGAGAGGCAGAATTCCCTTTGGGATAATTCCCTTTGGTGTGGGACAAGGCTGACACTCCTGGCGCGTTTCCCAGCCGGGTTTTACCCAGGGAGCAGGCAGCGCCGGGGGAGGGATGGAGCGCCTGGCCTCCTTCAGCAGTAAGTGCCTTCAGAGAATCCAGCTCCCACGTCTGCTCCTGGAAAACCTGCACGGCACAAGGATTCCTTGGAGCAGTGGGCTTTCGGTGTCACCGTCCCAGAAAGGGGCCAAAAACTGAGCGAATGTGGCACTCTGGGGACGTGGTGTAGTGCTCACAAAAATTATTCGGTCTGACTTTTGCCTTATTTTTCTCTACTTATAATTGAACTGATTCAAAACCATTTTCTTGGAAAAAGTCAGAATCATGGAATCCCAGACTGGTTTGGGTTGGAAGAAACCTCAGAGCCCACCCAGTGCCACCCCTGCCATGGCAGGGACACCTTCCACTGTCCCAGGGTGCTTCAAGCCTGTCCAACCTGGCCTTGGATACTTCCAGGGATCCAGGGGCAGCCACAGCTCCTCTGGGCATCCTCACCACCCTCCTAGGGAAGGGTTTCTTCCCAGTTCTCCAGTCTAACCCTGCTCTCTTTGAGTTTGAAGCCATTATAACCTGACAGTCATATTAATTTCATTGTACAACTGAGTTCATTTAAAATCCATAGAATCACGGAACATCCTGAGCTGGGCCCACAAGAACCATCAGCAGCTGGGGCTGGGCACAGGGGGATTTAGGGGCTGCCAAAGCAGTGCTGTGCTTGTGTGACAGGAGATTTCCTGTGGTTTTCCCAGGTGACCCTTTTGATAAGCCCCCGTGCCGAGGCTGCTCCTCGTACCTGACGGAGCCCTACGTGAAGTGTGCTGAGTGTGGGCCCCCTCCCTTCCTGCTGTGCCTGCAGGTGAGAAAGCAAAACCACTGAGAGACTCCAAGTCACAAACACAGGTTATTAGGAAAAGGGAAAAGAAACAAAATCCATGCAATAACACAAAAGGAAAAACACTGGCAGAGTCAGAACACAACCTGACACCCTTTTGGACAGCGTGTTGGTGGCAGTCCAAATTGGAGTGGCTGCAGTCCCTGGAGTGGCAGGGGTGGTTCTGTCAGAGCAGGGATCCTGTAGAAGGATGGAGTCTTCCTCTGAAGCTCCAGTGGAAAACCCCAGCTGTTCCTTTTGGGAATCTATTAGAAAAACCTGTGTTGGTGTTCCAAAAACACAGATTATATCCAGGTAGGAATGCTTGGCTCCTCCCTCTGGGTGGAGCATCTCACAATGGGATGTTTTAACTCAGTAGCCCATTATCAGCAGATGTCTCCCCTGAGAGAGGATTGGTTGTGGAAGAAAGAAGGAAAACTGCCCAATGAACAGAAGGCAATGCCATAGAGATGGCAATAGAGCATGTCTTGCCTTTCAATCTGGGATAGGGTCCAGCAGCAGGGCACAGCTCTCACTGCCCCGAGGGAGCCAGCCAGGGCTGTCCCAGTCACCTCTGCTCTCTCCAGCAGGGACCAGCCCACCCGGGTCAGGGAAATGACAAAGGGGGTTGGAGAGTGCAGGATTGAGCCATGGGCAGGTGGGCAGAGAATGGAAGTGAAAAAAGGGACCAGGGAAAATCTCAGGGCAGAGGTAACGCAGTTCTGATCTTTTGTTCTGCAGTGTTTCACCCGAGGATTTGAGTACAAGAAGCATCAAAGTGATCACACTTATGAGATAATGGTAAATATTCCTTTTGGATAACACCTACTCGGTCCTGGCTCTCACTGCTTGCCAGGAGTGAGGGACCCTTGCTTACTCATACTACACTGAAAGGTTAAGCGATGCAATTCTTTGATTCAGAGGTTTTAAGCTATTAAAAAAACATCCACCTGGAACAGGATGGAGCAGTGGAGTCATTTACAGCTGCATCTTTTTATTGTGCCTGGGTAGCACAATGCTCCTCACTAGACTTGCAGTGCTTTAACCAGCTACATTGCTTCTGTTCCTCCAGGCTGTTTCTTCTTCCTCCAAATTAATAATTCTTAAAATCTCCAGTAATTTTACTGTGTTTCATTGTGTAATTACAGCTGGGAGACACAACTTGTACCAGTATTTGCTGTGTTTGATGACCCCAGTGCCCTAAGCAATCCAATAATTATTCAATCAGGTTTTGTGAAAGTTTAAAACTGCCAGAATTATCTCCTGTGCCACCCCGTGGTTCAGAACTTCTTTGCCCTTTCTGAGGTGGGTTGGAACACAGGATCACAGTTTGTTCTGCTTTTTCCTTCTCCAGACATCCGACTTCCCTGTCCTGGATCCCAACTGGACAGCTCAGGAGGAGATGTCTCTCCTGGAAGCTGTGATGGACTGTGGATTTGGGAACTGGTGAGAATTCTCTGGTTCAGCCAATTTCAGGCAATGATGGGCAGCTTTTCCTTTCTTCTCACTGTTGAATTCATCAGTGCACATTGACTGTTCAGTGACTTATTGTGGGTGAGACCCTAATTCAGCAGCTAAAGTGTAAGGCTGGAGCATCAGATCCTCTTTTCATGAGTTAACTGTCTTCTCCTTTATTAAAAATAGTTGTGCTAAGAGTACAGAACCCCAGAATTCACAGAAGCAGAACTGAGAGTTCTTAGATGCACGTTGCTGCCAGAAGCAGGACCGATATCTGGTTACAGTTTGCCATTACCTGGAGTCAGTAAAACGTGTTAAAAGTTCTCAAATATCATCACTAAACTTCAAGCCTGTTAAATATGTGGTACATTCCATCAACCAGAGTGTTTCTCACATGAAAACAGTGAATTTCATTGTTCATGGGCACCCAGAAATGTTCCCTGGCGCAAATACGTGAGAGTTGGTGCTGAGAATGTGAGTTCAGGCACCATCACAGGCCAGTTCTCTGCACACAACCAATCTCTCGTCCAAAATTATCTTTTCCCACTGGATAAATTTTAAAAACCAACATTTCTGTGGTGTTCACACAAAGATTTCCCCTCTCCCCGCTCCAGGCAGGACGTGGCCAACCAGATGTGCACCAAATCCAAGGAGGAGTGTGAGAAGCACTACATGAAGCACTTCATCAACAACCCCCTGTTTGCCTCCACCCTGCTGAACCTGAAGCAGGCAGAGGAGGCTCAGCACCACGAGACAGCCATTCCCTTCCACTGTGAGTACTCAGGCACCACAGATCCTCTTTGCTCTCATCCCCAGGGGGATAACCTGCTCTGGGAAGTGGCCTGGGGAATGTCAGGAGCAGGGTTCCTTCACACTGGATTAATTCCTGGGTGTGTCAGACAGAGAAGGCTGCCAGTTCCATGGGGAAGGCAGGAAACAGGGTTTGACACAGACATCAGGGTCTCAAAAGCAGAAGTTCCTGCACAGCCAGAGCACACAGCATCAGCCCAGCAGAAGTTCTGGATGTTTTATCCATTGGATTACAATTCACCAAGCTCCTGCAGGTGTGTCCCTCAGGACGAGCACCAGTGTGGCTCTCACCCTGCACAGCAAGGGAGCTGAGCAGGGATTTCTGCCTTCAGGCATTCCCTCTGCTCCTGTGCACATTCCTGTGTACACACTCCATCCCAGGCCTGACTGCTGATTTAATTTGTCATAAAATCACTCCTTTCAGCTATGCTGATTTCACACCTCTCCCTTGAAAACTGCCTGTTAAAAAAGTCTGCAGCAAGTTCACAGATTCTCAGTTTGCCTTGCATTTCACATCTTTAGCATTCCCCCAGTCTGGCAGCTGCTCATTGCAGAGCTCCCCAGCCTGCCTGAGGCTTTACATTTCCCACTGAAGTGCTTGGAGCTAAACTGGAGGAACTGGGCAATTTTGGTGCTGTCCCTGGCTGCCGTCGGTATTTTTATGTGCCCTGGGCCAACACAAACTCTCTGTGCCTCAGCCTGCTTTATCTGTGGCCTGGGACACACAAAGCTCAGCTCCTGCACGAGTGCCTTGTGAGCCTCAGACTATTATTGTCTGTAAAGCACCGAGCTCCTCAGCTGGGGAGTGCTGTAAAAACTGGGAGCTCTCTGCCTTTAATTGCAGCCCTGTCAATGGCCCCCAGAAGAAAGCAGATTTAACACTCCTGTTGCTATTAACTAAAAGAACCTGCACGCTGAGCCCCAGGGATCTGCAGAGGTTTAGAGGGGGATGCTGAGCTCCAAAATGTAAAGTTTACATTTTTATTACCTGTTTATTACCTTGAATTTGTGTTTGGCTCTTGAGAATACCACGAAGATCTCAGATTGCTGCATTTTTCTCTGGATGAACTCTGTCTTTTCTGACTATAACACTGAATAAAAGCCCAATCAGGGTATTTTTCTTCAACTAATTATCCCCACTTTTCCTGCAAAATAAACACTTATTTATAGATCCTGAAAAGAAGATCTCAAGCCCTACTCAACAACTGAAAACCTTTGTTTTTTGCAGCTGCTGATGATCCCCCACGGCCCACCTTTGACTCCCTGCTCTCCAGGGACATGGCTGGGTACATGCCAGCCAGAGCTGACTTTGTTGAGGTAAGAGAGACTCTCCTCACATTATTTTAAATTTGCTGCTGGGTGCAAACTCAGCTCACACACCCCTGCCTGTCCTTGCTCTTCTTGTAAAAGCATCAGAGGAGGGCACAGGGCTGAGGGATGCTCTTAGTCCTGTGTGAAATTTGAGTTTATCCCGTGAGGAGCAGGGAGCTGGACTCTGATCCTCCCTTCCAAGGTGAGATATTCGTGATGGAAGCTCTGCTAATGAAGGGTTGGGTGCCAGAGGTGGCACTGTTGGCCTGCAGAGCTGGGGCAGGCTGCAGGATGAGCTGCTGCCACCACGTGTCCAGCTGTCCATCTGTCCATCTGTCCAGCCCTGTCCCTGCTGGGCCAAAGGATCAGCTCCAGCACTGTCACCTGCCTGAGGGGAGCACACACACTGCTCCAGACATCACCTGGCAGACCATGCTCTGGGCATGGAAAAGGCCCCAGTTCCTGCTCCTGTCCATGGAGGAATGAGCTCAGCCATACAGGGGCTTGGGGTTATACCTCTGAGCAGAATCAGCAGCCAAAAATCCCACCCAAGCCTCTCAGACACATGGGGGGGACTCCTGGGCCAGCCAGGAGTTGGGCTTGGTGATGTTCGTGGGTCCCTCCCGGCTCAGGGCATTCTGATTTGCACCCCAGCCAGGGGTGATGACCTGGTTAATTGGTTATTCCCCCTGTCCTGTCCCAAATCCTGCTCCAGCTGCAGCCACGGGGGTGCCTTCACACACATTTCCCCCAGGTAAATGCCCTGGGATGTTTGCTGCTCAGGGATGGAGCCTTGTGCCTGTTTGAGTGAACATCTCTGTCCCCAGTCCTTCTGCATCTTCTGGGACCTGAGGCCAATATTTCAGTGCTCGTTAGTGACAATGTGTTAATCACCTCTGAACAGGAGTTTGACAACTATGCTGAGTGGGATTTGAGAGATATTGATTTTGTAGAAGATGATTCAGACATTTTGCACGGTAAGTGCCATATTTTTGTACCCAGCCTGAAAACTCTTCCAGATGCCTGTGCAGCTTTTCATGGGGTGTCTTTCTCCACACACACTTTTAATGTATGGGGTTTCATGTTTGGGTTTTTAATGCATTAAATCTATCAGGGTAGGTGTTAATGCAGGCAGCAAGGAGGTGTGTGGTTTATGTGGAACACATTAAAAGTGTTGGACTCGCAGCTGTGTGATTTCTCATATGTTCAGCATGCCCTGAGTTAGAGTAGCATCAGCTGTGTGTGACAACTTCCTTTTTATTGTGAAGATGACTGTATGAGCCCAGTGCCTGCTCTGAGTCTGTGAACATGCTGCCTTAATCGCATGAAGTAACAGGAATTACTGAAGTGACATTTTAATCCACGGAGAGGAAAAGATCCTGCTTTTCCCCACGTTTGTAAGTACACCCAGGGTTTAAAAGTCCTGTGTTTATGCCTCAGAATTCTGCCATCTGTGTCAGGCAGTTCTGAGCTAAAGCCTTTGCATCCCTTGGAGACAGACAAATCCTTGTTGCGTACAGACAGTCTTGGCAAAGTTAAAAAAGCCAGTTTGAAGTCGAGCAGTGCACGCAGGAGCTTTAGGAATGCAAACTCCCCTGGCTCAGGGCAGGTTCTCAGAGTCCTGTGTCAGCCTCTCCCAGCTTTTACTGAGGGGGGCCTGGCTTGAGGCCATGGCAGGGATTCCTCCTGCCAGCTGGTCCCTGTGGAGGCAGGGATGGGAATGAAGAGATTCCATCTTCAGAAGGTAAAAATTATCTTTATTCAAAAGCACCTCTCTCTTTTATAGAGAACATCACGAACATTAATTCCATTGTTTTAAAGTAAAAACATTTCACCCGAATGGTGCACTGGACTTAGGTCAGTGTGGTAGAACATATCGATAAACAATATGAACAGAAAACAAAATAATATATTACACCTGCCTCCCTCCCAGGCACACTTCAGCCCCTCTCCTGCCACGTCCCATCCTCCAGGATCCTGCTGAAGCTGGGTCTGCTCGTGCTCCTGCACGTCCTGCAACAGGGAGCTGCACAATCCAATTACAGGAGTTCACAATTTAATTGTGTGTCGTGTGAAAAAAGACTTCCCCCCCGTCTGCCCGATATTTTTCGCCCGATAATTTCATTGGGTGTTCTCTGCTCCATCCTTCAGTTGTCTTCAGCGTTTGGGAAGAGCTGCCAGGCATTTGCTGTGTGCAGACTGCCTGGCAGAGGCGTTTTGGATCTCTTAGCCCAGGAACTCTGGCATCTGCCTTGCCACACTGTCCCAGATCTGCCCAGGGGAAGAGTGAAAGGCAAAAACGAATCCCAGGGTCCAGCCAGCTTCTTCCCTTTCACACGAGGCATCTTGGGGAGAGCAGGAATCCTTCCCTAAAGAATTTGGAGCGAGATCTTTCACTTCTGCCATTTAACACAAAAAAGGGAAGGAGCCACATCCTCCCTGTGCAGTTTTGAAGGGCTCAGCTGCCCACTTGGCTTGAGAGAATTTTGCAGCCCAGCTGCCCCCGGGGCAGGAATTGCCCAGCGTGGGCTCTTGGGAGCAGGGATGCTGTGAGAATTTTGTGCTGTGGGGTGGGCACAGGGGCTGAGCACATTTCACAGCCCACATAAACCCAAACGGGGCCTCACAGCTCTAAGGCTCAGGTGGGGAAGAAAATCCCTCTGTTTGCTTTCCTGCCACACGTTCAACCTCACTGGGTTCAAGATTAATTTTTGAGAGCGATTTTCATTCTGCATTTTCTGCAAGTCACTCGGGCTGGGCCCTGGAACACCCCAGTACAATTTCTGTGGTCTCTCCTTCCTCCTCTTGGTGCACCAGTCACTGCTCATCCCACAGGAATATTTGTGCTTTCACTGCAGTCTAATTCCCCCTTCTTCCCTTTCTCCCACATTGCTTTTCGTAATATTTTATAAAAATTATTTTTAAGAAGTTCTAGATCTGAGCTGCTTCACCTCCGTTTTCTGATGATATCTTTTATATGATATTTATATTTGAAGTTTTATCTCATGTATTTTACCTGTCAGATTTCACTGTGTCACTCTAAACAAGTTCTTGGTATTCCCACAAGAAAATGCTATTTATTACAAGGTGGGAAGGCTTTTATGAGGAACAGAGAAGCTGTACCTGCTGCCTCCCCAGCTCTCCCCACCTCACAGGAGGTCACAGACATCATTCAGTCACTTCTTGCTATTAGTGAGATGGCCAAAAAATGTATGAAATGTCTCATATTTCAGTTAAATTCTGGAATTGTTCTCTTTTGTTCAGTGCTGGCAGTACAGTAAGGGCATGCAAATATATATTGCAGTTACACAAAAACATAATGGACAGATCAAAAGCACCGACCAGTTACAAGCCTAATTCAGCCCACAGTGCTTGAATATTTCATGAACTACAAGTTTTCATCAGGCTGAATTAGAACATTGGTAATTTATCTTTTTCCCAGCTTTCCCCCCCCCCCCTTCTCATGTAAATGATTTTTCACTTCTAACACTGCAAAGTAATTGCTGAAACCACAGATTTAGAAGCGAGTGGAAATAGGCTGCAACTGGCAGGGAAATTTGATTTGAAGCTGCAAGGCAGTCCGTGTCCTTCCTGCCAGAACACGGTGTTTATTGTGCTGTGGAAGCTCTGCCACGCTCCAGAGGCAGAAATCTCCTTGCCAGGGGTCCTGCCCTGCTCCAGGGTGGCTGGGGTTGGGCTGCAGCCCTTGAGCTTGTCCCCAGCCCAGCACACGCTGGTCCCACAGGCTGTTCATGGCATTGCTTTGCATTCTTCCCATTATCTGGGCCTCTCCTGCCAGGGCAGGTTCTCTCCCATGGAACAAAGCTCTCACTCATTAGTGCTCCACAAACTCCCCTGCGCTCCAAGCGAGGCTGAAGAGGAATGAAAAGCAAAGAAACTGTTTTGGACACGCTCTGGAGAAACCAAAATATTTGGCGTTTGAGTTTTTGGGGTTTGTTTTTTGGTTTTGGTTTTTTTTTTTGAATGGAGGAAGGAGCCTTGAGTTGCTGCCTATCAGTGGGGCCTTCAGAGCTGCAGCAAGGACAGGAAAGAGCCTTGCCAGAGCCCAGGGTGGGCACTGAGCACGGTGGCAGCTTGGATTGGCACAAGCAGAGTGCCTCCCCCTGCAGAAGCCGTGGGGAAGAGCACAGGCAGGTCATTCTCATTCCCCCAGCAGCTCCTCTCTCATTTCCATGCCGTGTGTGGCACTGGAGCAGTCAGAGCTATTCATGCATCCCACATTTGGCAGTCGCCTGTCCTGGCTGAATCTGCCTGTTAAAAACAAAAGCCCCTCCAGGAGGGCATGTGGCACCAAATACTGATTTCACTGGGAGCAGAAGCTCCATTTCTTTTCCTTTCATTTGTTCCTTCCTCTCCCCAGCTGATCATCATTTCTTTAGAATATTGTGCACTCAGGTGAAAGCATCAAAACTCCATGGTTAGAGGTACATAATTACTTGTGATATTTATAGAGGTTCTCCAGTGCAGTTTCTGCATGTACTTATTAAGTTCTGCCCACATAAACCCCAGAAAATAACAAGTTGGCTGAGCTTGCAGAGGGTTTGAAAACTACAAAAATATTTTCCGTAAATTGGCTCCAATTCCAGCCCTTCCTAATGGATTTCATTCATGTTTAACTTGCTGCATTCCCAATTTCTCATCCCCACATTTTAGCACGAAGGAGAATTTGCTGTCTCTGCTTGTTCTTAAATTAGGAGACTTGAATCCCTCACTATGAAAATACACCATGACGCTGGAAAATGCAAGAAATTTGGAAAAACAAGTAGGAACATTGCAGCACCCCTCCTATCTCATACAGAATCCTTTAACCTTAGATTAATGTCAGAGCAATTTGGGACAAACTGAAGGGTTTTTTCCCTTGGGATCAAGTTCCTGAGTGAATCCCCACAGCCTTTGGGCTTTGTGCTTGTTTGTATGAAATTTGATTACCCAGAGGATTGCAGGGATGAATTTCCCAGAGCCTGGGGGCTTCCTGGTGTTTACACCTACAGACATATTTAAGATAGACACATAACCACACTTCTTAATTGCATTATTAATTATTAATCCCAGAGTACAATCGATAAACTGCCACTATCAGTTTGCTCTTTCTGTGTAACTACAGAGAGAAATGGATCCCGGCTTCTGTCTCCCTTTTTCCAAAATCTGGTTGTTGTGTCACAGCCTCCAAACCACTGCCAAGCCCTGAGCCTCTTCCTTCTGAGAGCACATGGAAATTATTAACAAATTTTTTTTAAAACCCACTGAAAATCAGCCACCTCTACACTCATTTAACAACTTGGAATTTGTGTGTTATCTAACAGAGCAAGGGAAGGGAAGGTGATGGGTGTCTCTTTATCTTGTCTTTCAAGAATTGACCCCCAAAAAAGTTCATTAAGCTAATGGCTGCAGGAAAAAGGAGCTGCAGGCTGTGTGAGTGGCTCAGCCAGGCTGCAGACAGGTTTGATTTGGGGAAGGATGTGGTTTCTAATGAGCATGGCTTTTCCCTGGGCTTCTTCACATTCTCCCGAACTATTCTTTGTTCTCCTGGCAGATAAGTTTGGAAGTTAACAAGCTGGAATCTTCCAGGTGGCTTTAACAGCTGCAGGAAAGGCTGCTTTGAGTCCACACAGAGCTTTTTGGAGTTCCCTGTTCCCTGCCAGAGGTGGCACCTCAGGTCCTTAAACCTTCTCTCAGGAGAAGGAATATATTGGTTACTGCATGTGTGAAGGAACAAACATTTGCTGGCAGCAAAACAGCCCAGGAAGGAAGAGGAGAGGAGCTGTCAGGCCCTGCCCAGGTTCATGCTGACCTGGGTGTATTTACAGTGATGAATTTGGCAGGAGGAAGCCAAAGAAACCTTCCCCAGGTAGCATGGACTGCACTGAGCTGATGCCCCTGTAAAATTTGCCTCAGGGTTTTCAAACCAGCAAAGCAGTGACCATGTGAGCACAAAAGCTTGAAATTCAGCCTCCTGCAGTGATTGCTCATGAATTCTTTGATCTTTGTGTTTTGCAGCTCTGAAGATTGCAGTTGTAGATATCTATCATTCCAGGTTAAAGGAAAGGCAGAGACGGAAAAAGTGAGTTTTTAAAGCAGTCACTGTGTTTTTCCTTTCCCTGTGCGATGCTGATGGATTACACATCATGAATTTCCTGCTTCAGGAAAAAAAAAAAAATCCTGCCAGACTGTGATTGATTGCTGGACCCCCACTTTTTCCCCCAGAAATATTTGCATCATTATTTTTAAATCCTAGTGGTCCCTGAGTTAGTTTTCCACACTGAAGATAACTCAGTTGCTGACGTGGGCTTGAATAATTTATTCAGCTCATATGACAGCGTTCTAGAATGACTCAATCTATTAATTAAATTAAGTTTTATTATAACTTTGAAGTACTTTGTTCAATATTTAAAATTATATCTTGCTGGATTACTCCATGCCGGAAGAATTAGTGATTTGAAGTGGGGCTGCTCCAGTCCTTCTCATAAAACTCCACAGTTCTGCTGAGTGACAGGAAGGCTTGACCTGGTTCTTTATAATTCAGAAATAAAAAGTATTTATGTGGTGTAATTTCCATGATGATCTATCTTGTCATACTAAAGGAAAGTGCTGCAGGGCTCTCCATAACTCTCGTGGTTACACCAGTGTCAGGTTTTGTGAAGTTTCAACAACAGGATGGGATGAAAAATCTGGAAAATAGCACAAAAGTGCTGATGTCACTGTCAGAAAGGTGACTCTGCACGGGACAGGAAGGTTTTGTGCACGGCAGAGGAAATGTCAAGGATTTCACAGAGCAAGTTCTGAGCTGACCTTGGCTCTGGGGGATCTTATTTGCCAAAGTGGAGTCACCACAGAGCAATGAGCACATGGCTCTGCTCCCGTTGGTGACAGGGATTTATCAGGCACCTGCTTTTCCTCTGCTCCTCCCCCTGATCCCAGCAGGAGCAGTTCAGACCCAGAGTTACCTCCCTCACCTCTCTAAACCCCAGCCTGCCATGGAAAAATGCCTTTTTCCTGTGCCACTGGTGGCATTTACAGCCCAGCTCTGCCCTGTGCTTCAGCAGAGGGAAGTTTGTCTCTCTCTGAAGCTGAAAATGATGTTCATGAGACATACATTACCTGTGATTTTGGAAGGACAAGTTATAAGATGCTGTAGATGTGAAGTCTGTGCCTAAAGAAGCAATTTCCAACCTTTAAAGTGATTGCAGCTCCCTTTGTGCTCAGTGCTAATGCACACCACTGTCCAGAATTTACCCTGATTAAAGACACCCTGCATCATGTTTCCATTCCAGCCAGCCCAGGGCTTATGGAAATTTCATTCATGTTTAGTTTCAGATTCCTCTGATGGTCTGAATCAAAGTTTCTTCTGAAGCCTTTGTGTTTGTGAGGCAATGCAGGAGTAATGGCCTTTATTAATATTATTTTCTTTCATTTCCAGAATTATAAGAGATCATGGCCTGATCAACCTCAGAAAATTTCAGAGTGAGTATCAGGTGTAACTGCTTGACTTCAAAGTGGCAAAACTTCCCACATTCACCACTTCCAGGTCACCAGTGTGGTTTGTTCACACTGGAACATATTCAGATGTTCTAAATTCCAGCAGATTTCCTGCCCCAGCTGTTTCCAGCTGCCTGCCTCTAACTAATCCCAGCTCAGTGTTTCAGTTATTGCCTCAAAATTGCCCTTCAGAAGCACTTTGGTCTCTGCTGAGTGGAGAAAAGGGGGAAGGTGAAACCCAGGCCTTTCTTGTGAGAAACGACTGAGCAACATTTAAATATCACCCTTTATGCCTTAAGCACTTTAAGGGCTGTAACTTCTTGTTGCTTTTTCCTCAGCAAGTTGTGACACCAGAAGGGCCAAAACGTGGGGGTTTGAGGCAGTGCTGAGGCTGGGGCTCGCAGCAGCCCCCACAGAGGCGTTCTGCCCTGGCAGCAGGAGGGGTGATGTCTCTATAGGACACGAAAAGCACAATATGAGCCACTGCGATGGCAAGGTAAAAAATAAAAAGGTTTATTTTCTGCCTCCAACCTTTATACTTTTCCAAAGGTGACAGTGGATTGGAGAGTGAATGGGTCACCTCTCCAAAAACATTGGACAAACCACCAGGACATCAACTTCCTCCACCCCAGTGAAGGAACGCAAAACAATATGTTGTTTCTAGAAAATGTGTGGGAAAGTTTTCTAACAGAACGTAAACTCAGAAGGCTTTAGAAAATCTTAAGAATCAGGGTGACGTGTGGCACTTTGCCCCTGCAGTGCTGGAAAGGCGCTACCCCAAGGAGGTGCAGGAGCTCTACGAGACCATGAGGAGGTTCGCCCGCATCCTGGGGCCCCTGGAGCACGACAAGTTCATCGAGAGCCACGCATGTGAGTCCCACCCGCCTCCCCGGGACAGGGCTGCCTTTCCTCCTCCTCCTCCCCCAGCTAATGCCTCAGGAAAACAAATCCATCTGTGGTTTGATGCCTTGAATGAGCAGCCGGTGGGTTTTTTCCACAAAACTGTGTCCGAGCCCTTTGTTTGAGTTTGTAGCTCACTGAACATTCTGGTCACGTGTTAGAGGTGATATTTTTTTATCTAAAGACCACTGTTTATTTACTGGCACTCTGTATCAGGGGAAGAATAAAATCCCTATATTATGTCTGTGTGGAGAGATTGGGAGCTGGCAGCAAAGTGAATTCTTTGAAAGACACACGTTAAAGTATTTAATGCCACATAATTACATAGCGCAGTGGTCATTATGTCCTTACCTTAGGGGAGAGGCATTGTTCCATCCCTGAATCATCCCATAGCCTGCATTTAGGCAGATTCCAGTCAGAGTCACCACATCCTGCTTCATTCTGTGACTTAAACTGGGACAGTTGTTGCTCATTAGAAAGAACAAAGCAGTTGCGAAGTTGTGCCAGTTGTGCCCGTGTTTTCAGGACACCCAGTGAGAAATACCAAAGGCATGATCCTGCAAAGTCATGAGTCCTGCATGGCAGTGCTGCTCCTGGAACCTGCTTTTGTTGTTGTGGCTGCAGGTCCTCAGGTGAACCTGGCAGCCAGGGACAGGTCTCCTGAGCAGCAGCAGGAAACAAATTGACAAGGAAACTTGCTCCCTGTAAAACTGAGCAGTGCTGGAAGGTAGCTGATGAAAACAACAGTCAGGAAATATCTCTGAGCAAAAGAAACATTTCATAATTTCATCTTACTGACTGCAGGAAAAAAAATTGTCTGCAAGGAAAAGTTTTGGAAGGTTGAGCTAGGAAAAGCATAGTTCCAAGAGAATATTTGATGTATAAGGAGCCTGGCTGGAGTAGTTCCTCAGAGCTATTGAAATGCCTTCTGGAAATCCCACATTATTGTTATTTGCCTTGTCTAGGGTATGGCAAAGGGACTATCAAAGCATGAAGAGAAACTGCCTTTTCAGAACTCAGAAATTCTAGAAACCAGCTGAAATCTGTGACCAAGGAGCGTGGGGACACAGAGATTGAGAGCTTGTGGAGGGAGGTTAACCCTGGCTGTGGTTTGTGTGTTCAGGGAGATGACAAAGAGCCACATTCCCAGTCCACCCCACTGACCCACTTTTGCTTTTTTGGTTTTCCCTCCTGCCACCCTGTGGGGTCCAACAGTGGAATTTGAGCTGCGCAGGGAAATAAAGAGACTCCAGGAATACAGAGCAGCAGGAATCACCAATTTCTGCAGTAAGTACCTGATGCATTATTCAGCCCATTGCCATCCATCAAGGAAGGGAAGGATGATTTTACAACATTCAGGATGTGTTGAATAAAAAGGCACTTAGTTCAGAGAGGCTCTGGAGCTGAGCAAGGCTTCAGCAATGATGCACAGTCCAGCTGGGCTGGTTTAGAGCTGATCTGAGCCATCAGCATGGGGATCAGTGTCTGACACAGCTCTGCTCTGGGCACCACTTTGCAAAAGCTTCATTAAAAAATATTTCTGTTGTGGCACAGTGGTCTCAGGGCTTTATCTTGGAGGCTTTCACTTGCCTGTCCACACATGTGGTATCTGGAGAAAGGCCTAAGACCTCCCCATAAGAAAATGACCTGTTTTATCCTGGAATTAGATCATGGAAGCCTTTTTTGTTTGGTTTTGGCCTGAAGCTAACAGGGGAAAGGGTGCAAGGTGTCATCTAATGCCGAGTACTCACCACGAGGGAGAACAGCAGAGCTTGGGCCAGAGGCAGAGACGTTCCCAGTACCTCCTGAAGCAGGGCCAGGCCAGTCTGGATGTTTTGGGTGGTGAGGACAGGCTGTGTGTGTGCCACAGGTGCCAGGACCTACGAGCACCTGAAGAAGAGCCGGGACGAGGAGCGGCTGAAGCGCACGATGCTCTCGGAGGTGCTGCAGTACATCCAGGACAGCAGCGCCTGCCAGCAGTGGCTCAGCCGCCAGGCAGACATGTAAGCAGTGCCACGGGGTGCCCAGGGAGCCTGCCCCATCCTGGCAGTGCCCCATCCAGCTGGCATGGGCTTCGGAGCAGCCTGCTCCTCTGCGAAGGTGTCCCTGCCTCTGGGACGGGATGAGCTTCAAGCTCCCTCCCAACCCAAACCTTCCTGGGGTTCTGTGCTTCAGTTTGCATCAAACACATCTTCCTGCCTGATAGTAACAAATCCATTATTCCCAGTTTATCCAAGTGGGAGCAGCCTGCAGAATTCAGAGGGGCAGAAAAGTGGGTGACAGCAATAGTGCTTGTAAAAGGAGGGACCCTCAGTTTTCTCAAATTTATATTTCAGGAACTGAACCGCTGTTCATAAAGTCACGGAGGGAAGTGAGCTCTTTTTGGATATTAATGAGGACACAGCTGATGCCTGAAATATTTCAGATGATTTTAGATGTAGCAGCACTATTAATGTGTCATCAGCCTGCACAAGCACCTGGATTTAAGGAGCAAACATAAAGGAAGTGCATCCTGCATGCAGGACATGGTTTGGAACTTCCCCACTCAATCTCCACTGGATTTTTCATTGTGTGCCCCTCCACATTTCTTTGTTGGGTTTTTAAACAGGTTTCAGACATATTTTCCAATGTAGGAACACTAAATATTTATAACTCCTGTTGACTCCTAGTCAGGGCATAGGTTATGCAAGTTGAATTGTATAATTATTACAAGTTGTAGAAGAAGCACTTTCAGGGTCAACACATGCAGTTATTGTCAAAAAAACATGAAGGCAATTTGAAAATTTCCTTTCTTTTCAGTGATTCTGGCCTGACTCCCACGGTACCAGTTCCTTCAACTACAGGTAAGTGTTAGGTGATGTCTGCCAAAAACCCAGCAATATCTCTCTGAGAGCCTTTTTCTGACTCTTTTTCTCGAGTGCAAGAGTGTCATCCTCAAGCCTCATGGTCAAGCACTGCTTAGGTCAACATTACATCAATCTGCAAGTCATTCCACTCACATATCCTGCAGGATTTTTGCAGAATTTCTAGATTTTTCTGACTGGACGTCAAAACCCATCCTAAAGCTACATTAGCAAGACAGGAAACAAAAGAATTTTCACAGTCTGTAAGCACAAATTAGGATTTTTTCCACCAAGAGGACCTCATCTTCTTTCAGTGCCCAGTAAGGACAGGTTCAGGGGTCAGGCAAGGGCCTCATGAGCAAGACTTCAATAAATTCCTATCCCATTTGTTGAGGTCATGGGGTTACTAAGACTGGGATAAAGTTTTACTACAAGGTTGTTAAATTTGGCCAGGGAAAATGGCTTTGGCTCTGTCCCTACACCCAGTTTTTATGTGGATGCTGTTAAACCACTTGAATCAAACTTCTCAGGGTGGACACTGGGTCTAAAAGTTCTTCCTCATTTCTGCCTGGTAAATTTGGGTCAGAATCCAAAGCAGTGAGTCAGGGCACTACAGACTCTTCTAAACCTGTTTGGTGATTGCTGAGATCTGGTATTTTGGATAAAAAAACAGCTTTGTATATCTCAGAGTCCATGAAGAGAGGACACTGCCTTCCAGCTGAAGGTCTGGAATGAGGAGTGAACTTCCTTTTTCTGTCAAGGATCCAGTGTCCCATGAAGGGGATTGTGCTGCCTGTGGAGCTGTGATGGCTCACAGTGTTTATAAGCAGCATCACATGTGGAACAAAACCCAAACAAAATACCACAGAGTTGCTAATTAAGCAAACATCCTGCCCAGGGATGCTGAGGAAGAGCTGCCACGTGGCTCTAATTAAAGGCTGCATCACTCTGAATATACAAGAGGACAAATTAATGCTTCACTTCTAGATTCTAAGCTCTTGAGTTTGCAGACTTGATATGTTTTCCTTAATGTAGTTTGTGTGTGTGTGGTATTTTCTGGGTTTATAGAGGAGTAAAACTGAATTTTGTCATGTCCCTCCCGCCCCATGCCACGGGAAGAGGGAGCAGTGCTGAGAAATAATTTCCTTTACACCTCCCACAGACTCTCACTCCAGCTTCTCCCCAGGCCCCAGCTCCCTCTGCTCAGGCTCCTCACACCCAGCCAGATCCCTGCTGTTCCTCAGGTGCCCAGGAGACACAGAGACTTCCCAATGCCAGGGCAGGACCTGGCCAGGGCAGGGGGCTTGGGGAAAACCTTCTCTTTTTGCACACTTCCCAAGGTCTCATCACTTCTCCAAATCTGGGGAGTTATCCTGGGATAGAGATCTATCTCTAGCAGTTCTAAATATGCAGCCCACAGCACAGGGGTGAGAGACTTTTTCCAATGTGGATAAATAACTAAATAACCCAAACTTGGTCCTGAGCTCTGCCAGTAAAAAAAAAAAAAAAAAAACCAAAAAAAAAAAACCCACCCAAACAAACAAATAAACAAAACAAAAAACTTATTAGGAAAAAAAGCCAAACCTGCAAGCAGACAAGCAGACAGCCCTTGTGAAAGTTTAGACTGTGCCAGGTAATATCCAGTAAAGTAAATAATAACTTATAAATGTTGTTTATATAATTGCATAGAAACAATAGTGAAAGTGAGAAATACCACATGACCTTGTGATAAATACTCCTTCTGAACTGTTCATCCTAACAGACAAAAAAATCAGTCCCCAAACTGCATTTGCCTTGCAATACCTGCATCATACTCAAAGGCATTTGAAGAAAACTCTGCCTCGTAAAGTTGTCAGTAATGCTAGAGAGAAATTAGCTTCTTAATCACACCAATAAAAAGTCTCATCATGGTTTCAGCACAGCTGGCACACCCTCCCTGGAGCTGGGATAGGCAGCCCAGCTGAGCCTCCTGCCTATCCCAGCTCCAGGGAGGGTGTGGAGGATGCTGGTGTGCTGATGCCAGTCTGACACAAAACTTGTCTTGCAGTTCCTCCCAAAAACCAGCAGCTCACGGGTCTCATGCAACATCCACAGAGCTTCAAATTGCAAAAGCAGACCTTTTGTGGCATCAGCAGAGCTTTCTGCTGAGCCCTAAGTGACCCTGTCTGTAAACACTTGGCTCAAACCGGGCTGAATTTTCTCCTTAACAGAGCAGCCATTCCAAAGTGCTCCCGTTCCTTCAGCTTCTCCTTTCCCATTCCACAGGCAGACGGAGTGCCCCTCCTCTGAACCTCACGGGCCTGCCAGGCACTGAGAAGCTCAACGAGAAGGAGAAGGAGGTGAGGGAAGCATGGAAGGATCCTCTCTCAAAACCGTGTCTCCACAGCACAGGGCTGCCCACACCACGTCTGGGGAGCTGTGAATGTCACCTCAGTACAGGCCCTGACTACTCTTCCTTCCTCACAGAAATCATTCAGGTTTTCCAGCTGGCTTCTTCACCTGCTGTGCCTCACATACAGCACAAACTGGCTTATTTAGCACAGAAAGGAGCAGAGCACCAGGGTGTTATTTGGGGCTGTCACAACATCCATCTCCCTGCCTGCTCTGCGAGGCTGGGCTCAGCAGAGGGGTTAATTTAATGAACACTGCTTGTTTTTCAGCCCAGTGCAGGCCTGTCCCCTAACTCAGTGAACAACTATTGAAATAAGAGATTATTATTTAATAGAGATCCTGAGGTGTCCCTGGGCTGCCCCAGGCAGGTCGCAGTGCCCGTGGAGCACAGCTGCAGCTCAGCCTCCCCTGGCTGCGTGTTCTGGAGCTGGCAGCACAGGGAATCAGCTCATGGCTCCGTGTGGAACTGGCATTTCTGCTCCATTCAGGCATTTCTGCTCCGTTCAGCACGCCAGGAATGGTGGCAGGACACCAGTGTGTGTGTGTCTGTGGAATCTGATTTCCTGGTCAGCTGAGACAGAAAGTCTGAGGGCTGAGGAATTCTGCAATTTCCTATCCGTGAGGAATGAGCATGAAGCATTTCCTTATTAAAGGGAGGAGACAGACAGTTTCTCCAGCGGGAGCAACACCGTGCTCCTGGAAGGCAGCTGGAATTTGGAAGCTGAGCAGGAGCTGTGCAGCCAAACAGCTCCGGGGCTGTGCACAGCCATTCCTCACCAAACTTCCAACCACGGAATGCCTTCCCTGCACAGCTGCCATGCCAGGCTTGTGGAGGGGGAGCTGCTTTTGTAAAGGTATTAGAGCCCGAGCCTGCAGGGGATTAGCAGCCAGATGCCCTCCCTGGCTCCCAGCCAGCCCAGTTGCTGATTCCAAGTCTGGCATGTGTGCTTCCCAGGCTTGGGAAGGAGCAACACCCACCCAGGACACACTCAGAGCTGTGTTCCTGTGAGCCCAGGGCTTGCTTTCATCCTCCTCCTTTATTTTTCCACCAGGAATGTTTCTGAATGCAGCCAGCAGGCTCCTCCCTCCCTACCTGTGGATCCAGACAGCTCCTCATGGCACTCCCGTGTGCCTCCCCTCTGCAAAGAAACACTGGAAGTGTTCTCGGGAAAACATTCCCCGTGCTCCTCCCCCAGCAGGGCTCTGGGAATGGGAGAACATGACAAGTGCTGGTGTTTATTAACTTCACCTTTTGTCTTGCAGCTCTGTCAGATGGTGAGGCTGGTCCCTGGAGCCTATTTGGAATATAAAGCTGCTCTGGTGAACGAGTGCAACAAACAGGGAGGCCTGAGACTGGCGCAGGCTCGAGCCCTCATCAAGATTGATGTGAACAAAACCAGGAAAATCTATGACTTCCTGATCAGAGAAGGGTACATCACAAAGGCCTGAGGACAGGCAGCAGAGCTTGGCTGGAGCAGGCAGATGTGGAGAGGCTTTGAAGTCGGTTTGACAGCGCTGAAAGATTTCACCAGTGTCGAATGAAGGACATTTCCTTTTGTTTAAAACATTTCGGGGCTCTTTTTTTTTTTTGCCTTTTTTAATTTTTTTTTTATTTTGTAAAAACAAGTAGGGAGCTTTGTTAAATTGCATGAATGCTGACATTTGTCTGGGTTCCTTTTGACTCTGCTGCTGTCAGGATTGCTCTGCCTCGCAGCGCTGGGAAGGATCACGTGCAGTATAAGCTGATCTTAAACGTGAATGGGCATTCATTCCTCACACCTCCTGTGGCTGCAGACAGGGGCACGGTACCTCTGTGCTGATGGTGACAAAGAATAAGGGCACAGTCACACTTTTTGCAGTACAGGGTATAGAAATGCAGTCCCTCCCTCCTCGTGTTCCTTCCTAAATCAGCAGCAGCTTCCAGAGGCGACAGCACGTGCCCGAGGGTGTAAAAATAGAGTTTGCAGTGGTCCAGTCTTTTTAACTTAATTGTGATAAAGGATGGCAAAGGACATGGCGGGGAAGCTCCTCAGCAGTTGTTACTTTTATGTGGTATTAGCACATATCCCAGCAGGAGGGCTCTGCACAAACCAAGGAGCTTCAGCTGCTCCCCACCATGATTTGGGGGTGTCAGGTTAAATATAATCCCTCAATTTCAGGCTGCTGCTCATGGGGAAGGCTGGAAGCTACAGCTGCTGCAGCTTCTGGGAACAGGGATAAAAAGGTTCTCGGGACTCTGTTCTCCCACAAAAAACGGAGTGAAGAGCACGAAGCTCCTGTCTGTGGGGTTTTGTTCCCTCAGCCTTGCCAGTGACACACCTGAGGAGGTGCCACAAGGCACAGCCCCCATCCCTTCAGCTGATCCAGGAGCTTCAGCACCAAACGCTGGGATTTGGCAATCAGCTGGAAGATGAAGATGGTTCTCTGCAGGTGCAGCTTGTGTGTTTATTGAACAGTAAAATTGTCAGACAGCTTCCTGCTGAGGTGTAATGCTGGAATAATGTCCCACAGGAAAGCCGGGAGCCAAAGCAGGTGAGGTGTTGGATGCTCCCAAGTTTGGGATCTCATGGAAGAGCCTAACTGAGCTACAGCTGCACCAGCACCTATCTAAGGTGTTGAGGTTCAGGTTGTTTGTTCCCCAAGAGTAATTAATTGGTGGACATGAGGTGCCATTGAATGTGAAGTATTTTGGTTTGTAATAAAATCAAAATGACTCGAAACAATCTCACATCCACGTCCCAGGACTCAGAGTGAGGCTGTAAAGGTCACACAGCTGCCTGGATCTATATCCATCAGCTCCTCACCAGGAGAGAGGAGATGAACACCCAGCAGTGGCTGTAGGGATGCAGCCACCGCATTTCCTAGCAAATATTACTATTTAAAGAAAAGCAGCAGTAATAAGCAACACATTGAAGATTAAAGTCTAGAAATTGAGACTGGGGTTGCCGAGGGAAATGGCACAGTAAGCTATAAAAGCTTGAGAATGTTTCTCCCACTTGTCTTTGAACATTAAACAGCCAAACTGCCTTTCTTTTGCCCAGCCCTGCGAGTGACTTGCACCCAAAGGCAGTGAAGGGGCACTGGAACCACCCTGGGATCAGCCAGGTTGGTTTTGGGGGACTGCTGCTGCAGCCAGCCCTCGCTGCACTCCAGACTCACAGCTGGGGCATGCAGATCCTTCATTACACACCCAGGTGGACGTGGAACATTAAATACGGAGCAAGGCTGGAGATGGGCACTTTGGGATGGTGGCACCTGCAGGATTGGTGACACCGGGCCGGGGTGACGCGGGGAGGCTGCAGCTGCTCCAGCCCAGCTTAGTCACAGCACTGAGGTATGCACGGAATGAGTCTTCCCGGGGCTGTGTTACCCGCCTGTCATTAAAGCATCAGTGCTGGGGGTTTTTTTTGGGACTCACAGCTGCCGTCACCCCAGCAGCAAACGCTCTGGGCCCGCTGGTGACTCAGCCCGGGAGGAGGGGGCTGCCTGGAGCACATCCCGGGGGCTCCCACCGCCCCAGCACCGGCTCCCGTTCCCCACGGAGCAGATAACCCCGATACCAACGGCACACGAGGAGCCCTAGTTCTAGTGCCAGCTCAAATTCCCATCAGGAGGGGCCTGTGAAACCTAAACCACCCTCCCTGGGAGAAAACACCTCGCTGGAGCAGCAGCTTTTGAGCTGTGGTTAGAGAAACCCCAGGTGCCGTCCTGGTGAGAAGGGAAAAGGGGAAAATCCAAAGCACGTGGTGATGCCCCATAGTGATCTCTGGCCTTCCAGCAAACTGGCTGGGTGACCTTCCAGGAAAAGCCAGCATGGATTTATTAGTGGCTGTGGAGAAAGCAGCTTCCCACAGCCCTCCCTGTGACTGGAGCTGATGGACAGTGCCGGGACTGAGCCCATCAGCAGCACCAGGCACACGAATTCCTGCAGCCCCAGCCCACTGGGCCTCTTCCCACCCGGCTGCTGCCCAGGGAGCTGAACACGCTCCCACAGGAACCACAGCCAGGCCACACAGCCCAGCAGTGTGCTCTCACACCTGGCAGAGCTGGATCGGGACCATGTGGAACCCAGCAAGGAGCAGGAAAAGCATGGAGAGCACAGAGATGGGGTCAGGCAGCAGCTCAGCGTGCGCAGCTGTCCAGTGCCTGCCCCACCGCAGGCTCTCCATGGCCACAAGCAAGGATTGTGAGCACCCTTTGCTCCAGGGAATGCACCCTGGAATCTCCTGAGCTCCCCGTACAATCACCAACATCTCATTTCTTTTGCAAAGCCTGTCTGGAAAGTCAATGTTTTATGAACCAGGCGCCAGCACTCCCCAGTGGGAGTGAAATGGGAATGGATGGGAGCTCAGAGCACCTCCGGGCCCAGCTCCCAGGGGATGTCTGGGGTCCCTGGCACGGGCCAGCCCCCAGCTCGGCTGCCCAGGAGGCAGGCAGTGCTGTGCCCTGGGGAGGCTGAGCTGCCAGGCCATGGCAGTGGCCCAGCCCTCGCTCCCAGCCTGGCCCAGGGCTCTGGAGAGGGGGTCGGGGCAGGACACGGAGCATCCCGGAGGCACAGCCACAGCTCACAGGCACAGCCCCTGACTCAGCGGGCGAGCACCCGATGAAACTCACCCCACCCTCCCGAGACAAACCAGCACCCTGGCACCTCACCGAGGGAGCTGCCAAACAGCCCACGCCATGGGGTCCTGCACAGCATCCCTGCATCCCTCTGCCTAGCGAGGGGCCAGTCAGTGCAGTAAAGGCGCCCCAAACACAACACACACACACAAACAGGCTCCTCCTGACCCCCTCGAGCCCACGGTCACCCACAGCCCACCAGAGGGAAAACTGGCTTTGGGGGACAGCCCTTTCCTCCATGAGGCACCGGGGTGGCAGGGGCAGGCAGGGATGCTGGCACGCAGGGCAGGGCACAGGGATGGCCCCGGTGCTGACTCAGCTTGTGGCACACGTGTGGCTCCCCGCAGCCCAACGCACCCGGGCTGTGGAAACACTTCCCACTGCACCCACTGGCCCCACGGATCAGAGCACCCCATGGATTTGGAAAGGGTGACACACCCTCACGGCCACATCCTGGGAGCCCCTGAGCCAAAATCCTCCTGCCCAGGGAGCTCGGATTGGCACACGTTCCCCTTCTGCTCCTTGTGCTGCTGGAAAGCCACAAAGCCCTCCCTGCTGTGGCTGCCCGGCTGTGCTTGACATCCCTGGGGAGCTGAGACATCCCTGGGGAGCTGTGACATCCCTGCGGGGCTGTGACATCCCTGCGGGGCTGTGACATCCCTGGGGAGCTGTGACATCCCTGCAGGCCTGTGACATCCCTGCAGGCCTGTGACATCCCTGCCTCTCAGCGAGGCCTCTGCTGACCCACATTTGGCCACCGAAGCCCCACCACATGGTGACCCAAGCCCTGGCTTTGTTCTCGCCCCTTAAGGAGCTCCTGCTCGGGGATCTCTGCTCTGGCTGTCACCTCGCATCAAGCGCCAGGCGGCCGATGGCCCCGCACCGGGATTTGTCCCCACAGGAGCATTCGCTGCCTGCCCTGGGTCCCTGCTGCCGTCAGAGGCGAGGAGGGGAAGGCAGCACCCCAAACCAGCCCCTCGAGGCTCCCTGAGGCGGGGCTGGGGGTGCTGCTGGCACTCAGCGCCTGTGGCTCCACACTCCGACCACCCTGGATGCAGCTGTCGCTCCCAAAACCAGCAGGTCCCAATCCCTGGGCTTTGTTCCTCACTCTGGGACCTTTGTCTACATCACCCGGTGCAGGTCGAAGGTGGGGAAGAGTAAACTGTGGAGTAGCCATGGAAACTGGAGGAGATGGATGGATGGATGGATGGATGGATGGATGGATGGATGGATGGATGGCAGCTGTGGAAGGCAGCCTGCTCCCCTCTCAGCAGGCCTTCGTGACCCTGAGCACACCCTGGCAGAGCAGGGGAACACCCGGTGATTAAGATAATAGCCCTAATGACCAGCTAATGGCCCGTGGTCAGGCGCACCCTTCGGGAATGTGCCCGGACCCACCACGCTGTGCTCACCCCAGCACAGCCAGCGGGCATCTGCCAGGCTGGGCTGGGGAAGGTGGGTTCACAGTCACAGAATATCCTGACCCACAAGAACCAGAGTCCAAGTCCTGACCCTTCCAAAGCCATCACCCCCAGAGGCACCGCGGGGTCATCGGTCACCACTCAGAGCATCCTGGCCCTACACAGACTTCAGAACTTTACCAAGAGATGCACAGTTGCTATGGGAAGGGGAAAAACCCGTCCACAACACGATGTCTGCCTTAGAGGAGAGCTGCTGCTGCCCCACATCCTGTATGGGTGGGAGCTCAGGCTGCCTTCCCAGGGCTGGGGGGCCCACAGAGGCTCTGCAGTCCCCCTGTGCCAGGGCACAGAGCAGGCAGCTGTCCCAGGAAGCACCCAGTGCCTGACACCTCCCTGTGCTCAGGAGCAAACCCTCACAGTCCCGCCTGGCCCTCAAACATCCGTCCTGGACAAAACAGCTCTTGGCAGGAGGGCCTTGGCAGGACAGCAGCCCCCAGCCGGGTGCCCCAGCTCCCGTGAATGAACCTCTGGCCAGGGCTGAGTGTGGGAAGGAGCTGACATTCCCTTTTCGCTTTGTTCCTGCTGTGTCCCTGGGTCAAAGGCCTCCCAGGTTTCCCTTTGCATCCTCTGTCCCACACCAAACACACACAAAGCTCCTGGCAGGGTGCAGGTTAAAAGGACGAGTTGCACTGCCATTAGAAACACTTTTGCAGTTGTGTCAGTAGTTAAAAACTGCCCAGGATGAGCAACTGGAGCTGTGCAGAGCCTTTTTCTCACTCTGGTGGTGAGGGGGAATGAGGGGTTTAGCTGCTTGCGCAGGGAATCCCACAGGCTGCCACTCAAAACCCATCTTTGTCTCTCCCTACGCTGCCCATGGCCAGTAAACACCACCCAGGCTTGCACTGCCAGGGCTCCGAGCCCCCGGCCCAGGGATCCCAGCTCCAGGGGGACCCCGGGGGCTCAGCAGTCTCTCAGCTTCTCACAGACCTGATGATCACCTGGGGATCACCCGGGGATTTGTCTCTGCCCCTGAGATGGTGCAGCTCCAAGGAAGGCAGCAGTACTGATGCAACACGGAGGCAAAAAAAACCCTTGAGCTTGGAGAGCCCAAACCCTCACATTTTCATTTTTTTTGGCCTTTTGAGGTTTTCTTAATTTGTCTATTTTTGTTCCTCGCCCACCTCCGCGCGGAGTGTGACGCGAGCCCTCGCTGGAGAGGCAGGGTTTTAAGGGAGAGCTCTGGCTGCTATAAAGCAGCGAGGTTCTTGGAAAAACAGCCTCTGGAGCAATAAACAGATTTGGAGCTGAGGGCTGTGAGGGACGGCTCCATCTGGGCTGCTGAGTCATGAAACCTGCCCGAGCGAGATACCAGCCGAGGGCTCGGGCTGGGGGAAGCTTCCTAGGAGGGATTTGGGCTATTTTGGTCAGAGCGTGCGACAACAAAACCAGAAAGCGAACAAAAGCGGGCTGGGGTGGCCACGCTTCGCTCCAGCAGCCACGGGGTTAAAGCAGAGGCTGCCCCCCTCCTCCTCCTCCTCCTCCTCCTCCTCCTCCTCCTCCTCCTCTGCCAGTGCCAGCCTTGTCCCATGCCATGGTGGTGAGGCAGTGGGAGCAGAGCCTACACCTCAATCTCTAGTTTGCAGCCGAAAACAAACTCTCTGACCCCTTTGCTGTGTGGATCCCCGAAACCATGACATCCCTCCATGGGATCCCACCCGTGCCATCCCTCCTTGGGGATCCCAGCCTGTGGCATCTCTCCTTGGAGATCCCAGCTATCCACAGGGACTTAAGCTCACCCTGCCCTGGGCCAGGGTCCAGCCTGGTCCCCAGGAGGGTGCCACAAGAAGCCCCAGGAGCCTCAGGACCACCTGATATTCCTTCACTGTGCTCCCAGCGTGGGGAGGAGCTGTGGCTTGGGATGTCCCGAGTCACAAAAAACAGGTTCCTCTCTCTCTCTCAGGGCTGGCCCCCTCCCCAGTGAGCAACCATCCAGCCGAGGGACTTTGGCACGTCCCCATCCCCAAAGGGACCCCACCTTGTGCCCACACATGTTGGCAGGGTCCCCACGGGGACATGGCACGTCCCATCCCTAACAAGGGATGTCCTGGGCCCTGCCACATCCCCACATGCTGTCCCGTCCTCATGGGGACCCTGCCACACCCCTGTGCCCACAGTGACCACCTCTCCCTGCCATGTCCCATCACTGCCTTCCACACATCCATCCCCACAAGGCACCCGTTGTGTCCCCACAGCCATCCCCATTGTCTCCATCCCCACAGAGCACCCGTCATGTCCCCACCGAAACCCTCACTTGTTTCCTTTCCCTTGGGACCCCACTCATCCCCACATCTCCATGGGAGCCCTCTGTGCCCCACAGCACACCCCACTCTCCCCGTTCCCCACAGGCACCCCGTGTTTTCTCCACAGTGACCCTCAGTATCCCCATCCCCACAGCGACCCTGTTGTGTCCCCACTGCGATCCCCATTGTCTCCATCCCCACAGTGACCCCGTCGTGTCCCCACTGAAACCCTCACTTGTTTCCATCCCCACAGGGACCCCACTCATCCCCGCCTCACTCTCCCCCTTCACAAGCACCTCGTGTTTTCTCCACAATGATCCTCAGTATCCCCATCCCCACAGTGACTCCGTCGTGTCCCCACTGAAACCCTCACTTGTTTCCATCCCCCCAGGACCCCGCTCATCCCCTTGGGACCCCACTCATCCTCACATCCCCACAGGGACCCCACTCATCCCCACCTCACTCTCCCCTTCACAAGCACCTCGTGTTTTCTGCACAGTGACCCTCAGTATCCCCATCCCCACAGTGACCCTGTCGTGTCCCCACTGAAACCCTCACTTGTTTCCATCCTCACAGGGACCCCACTCATCCCCACACCCCCGGGACCCTGATGTACCCCCACAGCACACCCCACTCTCCCCGCTCCCCACAGGCACCCCGTGTTTTCTGCACAGCGCCCTCAGCGCCGCTCTCCCCACAGCTGCCCTCAGGCCGGGCGGCGCCTTTAAGCGGGGCCGGTCTCCCGGAGCCCCGCCCGGGGGCCGGCCCGGCCGCCCCCCGTAGCCTGGTAACGGCGGCTCTGCGGGCGGGGGCGGCCCCGGCAGCCGCGGTCAGGTGGCACCGCCGAGACGGAGCCGGCCGAGCACGATAAAAGTCCCGGCCCGCCGCCGCCACGGCTGCGAGGGAGCGCGGAGCCGCCGCCCGGGAGCCATGGTAGGGCCGGGCCGGGTGGGGGTCCGCGGCGCTGGGGGTGCCCCGGCTCTGTGCGCCGTGCCCAGCCCGCCCCGGCGGAGGGGTCCCGGCGGGCGGGACGCGGGTCGGTGGGGTCCCGCCGGGCTCGGGGCGCCGGGGCTGTGCCGTGGGGCGCCGCTCAAAGCCGGGAGAGCGGGGGCAGCCCCGAGCCCACCGCGGGCACGGCTCCGGGGCTGCCTCGGCGCGCAGCCAGCCCCGGCGCGGGCTGCGCGGAGACGGGGCTCCATCCCTGCGCCCTGCCCTCGGCACCCATCCCTGGCTCTGCACCCGCCTCTGGCTCCTGCCTCGGCACCCCCAGCTCAGCATCGTTCCCTGGATCCTGCCCTTGCACTCCTGATTTGGCTCCCATCCCTGGCTCCTGCCCTCGGCACCCCCAGCTCAGGATCCTTCCCTGGATCCTGCCTTTGCACTCCTGCTCTGGGCTCCCATCCCTGGCTCCTGCTCTCGGCACCCCCAGCTCAGGATCCTTCCCTGGATCCTGCCTTTGCACTCCTGATTTGGGCATCCACCTCTGTTCCTGCCCTCTGCACCCCCAGCTCAGCATCCTTCCCTGGATCCTGCCTTTGCACTCCTGATTTGGGCATCCACCTCTGTTCCTGCCCTCTGCACCCCCAGCTCAGCATCCTTCCCTGGATTCTGCCTTTGCATTCCTGCTCTGGGCTCCCATCCCTGGCTCCTGCCCTCGGCACCCCCAGCTCAGCATCGTTCTCTGGATCCTGCCCTTGCACTCCTGTATTGGGCATCCACCTCTGGTTCCTGCCCTCGGCACCCCCAGCACAGGATCCTTCCCTGGATCCTGCCCTTGCGCTCCTGCTCTGGGGATCCATCCCTTACTCCTGCCATGTCTCCCATCCCTGGCTCCTGCCCTCCACACCCCCAGCTCTCCCCGGTGCCCCCGGCACCCCGGTGGGTGCCCGCAGCTGCCCGGCCTCACATCCAGCCCGGCTGCGTGCACGGCCCTTGACTCAGCTCCGGAGCAGCTGCTTTGAGCAACACCGGTAATCAATGAGTGGCATTTGGCTGTAGGGAGATGAGGCAGGATCATAACCTGTTCGACTGGGCAGCAAATGAGCCTTTTATTCTGGAGGTTTGAGTGTTGGCAGATGCCTTAATATCATGTTGCAAGTTCAGTTTATCCCTAATGCCCCTGCCTCGGGAATGGTGGAGGATTAGCACTGCCAAAACAGTTTTCCCTTACGATACACGGGACCAGCTGCCCCTGCTCTGGCAGGGAGTGGATTCCTCCCCCAGGCCTCGCTGTAAACCTTGGTGTTTGCTGTGTTCCTGGTGGTTGGGACGGGCTCTGTGGCACTCTGGTTCCCAAGGAATGAGAAGGAAGGATCCCTGATTTGGGGGACGTGTGCTGTTCCCCGCTGGCAGAGAGATCTGCTGCCACGACTTGGCTGACGTGACCCTGGTGAACGTCAGGGGAGCAGTAATGCAGCAGGTTTTAATCGATTTGAGCCTGGAAGGTGTTGAACGTGCAGCTCTGCCTGTCCTTCCTGCCCTCGAGGGCTCGCCTGGGTCCTGGACAGGGACACAGACATCCCAGTTTCCTCCAGGAACAAAGGCGAAATCCCGGGGATTTCATCCCAGCCCTCGCTGCGGGGTCTGCTCTGGGCTCTGGCACTGCTTCTTCGTTGGTCAGGGCAAGATGGAAATTTGCACGGCTTAATTCAATACCTGATCCCAGCTGGAATCTCGGAGCTGGAAAGCCAGAGAGCTCCTGCCGCTCTAGTGCTAGAAACGTTCAGGGTGTGGGGGAAATCTTCTGCCTGAGGGAGGAAAGGGATGCAGAGCCGCCGCAAAAAAGTCTCAGGTCTCCGCTCTGGGAGCCAGAACCAGCTTTGTCCCGCAGAACCAGCCACCTGCACGCCTGGGCATGCAGGAAAAGGCTGGGAATGAGGAGTGGGAAAAAGGCACCTAGGCAGGGCGGTGGGGCCTGGGAGCACCAACGCTGACCCCACCACAGCCATCTATACAGGCTGTGCACCAGAGAAGCCTTCCAGGCTTCCTGCCACCGCTGCAGGACTTTCCTTCCAGGGTGGCTTTCCCTAGAAGGGAGGGGTAACATCTCAAACCAGGCACGGGAGCTTCTCCCAGCCCCTCCTCTCCAGGTACACAGCCCTCAGCACACACACACACCCATTTATCACTTCAAAAAGGACACTCTGAGCAGCCATAATCTGCTGAGAGGGCTCTGGTATTTGGAAATAGCTGAGGAATCTCTGAACAGGAGTCCCAGCTCCCTGGATGCTTGGGAATAAAGCCAGGAACTGGGAGGCAGGCACTGCCCACCTTTCCCAGGGCACCTGTAGTGCAGGCAGTGTGTGGGCTCAGCTCACACAGCTACTCCCCTGCTTTAAAAATAGAATAAAATTATAATAATCAGGCAGGTTTGGGGTTCCCAGCAGGAAGGATCAACAGGTGCTGCCACAGTCACCCCTAGGCCAGGTGGGTAGGGGTTCCCAGGCCGATGGGAATTAATTCTCATTTATTTTCACCATCCCACCCTGCAGTGTTGGGGGTCTGCAGGTCCCTCCCTTCGGATGCAGGAGTCCTTCATGGAGGAAATGTGAATTTGCACAGCATCCCTGGAAAAGAGAATTCCCCCCAGCCTGGAGCAGGCAGAGCGACCTCCTGGGAGCCGAGCGGTGCTCACAGGGGAAGCTCCACGTGTCCACTCCATCTCCCCCTAAGTGATTAAAATTGCCCTCTCTTCCTGTTACCCGGCACAACCCCATGGGTGTGCTCGGAGCTGACCTCACTCCCTACAGCTGCTGCATCCCCTCTGCTCCCAGCCTTGCCCAACCAGCCCCTGCCCAGCCTTGGGAAGCGTGGGGAAGGCGTGGGCAGCCCCTGCCCGCAGGGGAGGGGAATGTGTCACCATCAGGTTCATCAGGCTGCCAGCTTTGAGCCCCCCTGAGAAGCCAGGCAGCTGAGAGCCTGCACCAGTTGGCACTGCCCCTGGAAAAGGCCCGGGTGAGGCCAGCGTGGAGGCACCGGATTGTTTCCAGGACACGTTGCAGTGAATTTGCAGCTGCCTTCAATTTTATGGGCTCTGGGGTGGGCTGGGGCAGAGCCCCAGGAGCAGCAGGCACAGCCCTGGGCCCGGCGGGGTCACACACGAGCGAACACACCAGGTCCCTGTGTTTTGTTGTGCTAACAGGGAAGAGATTGTGTCCCTCCTGTCAGCTGTGACCGCGCCGGGCACGGCTCCGGAAAAAACAAGGCTCCATCTTGCAGCACCCCGGGAGCCAGAGCCAGGCGTGGGTCTGCTCCCTGCTCTCCATCCCCATCCCCCGGGGTCACACCTGGACACAGGGAGCAGGGGATGGAGCTTTCCTAAACTCCACCTGCGATCCAGATGCCATCAGCTGGCGCTGGAATAATCTGTGGTGCTCCAGAAGAGGCGGAATCACCGCTGGGGGCTGGAAACCAGCCCTCAGTGCTCAGCCGAGTAGGGAACCGACGCTGCACGCAACAGTCTGATCCTGTTCGTGCCTCCTCACAGCTTACTCCTGCTTTTTAAAGCGTCTCACACGCCTCCCAGGAGTTTTTAAGCAGGATGCAGGTGGCCAGGGCACTGCTCCGTGCTGGGGGAGCCCCATGCCCCCACTGTGCTCCGAGCAGCACGCGGGGCCCGTGGCTCTGAAAGCACAGACGTGGCGTTTAAAAGAAAGATGGTTTGTTTTTCTTGCATCAAATCCTCTCGCCGCTTGCCGAGGGAGGCTTGTCCTCGGAGCAGAGCGAGGATTTATAAATACCAGCGTGCCCCAGGTGGTGCCCGCTGCCCGTCTCGCTCCGTCCCTGCGACCGGGAGCTCTCCCTGTGGCCAGAGGTTTGGCTGGCAGCTGGCAGGATCCAGCTGCCAGCTGGGGAGGGAGCAGTGCCTGTTCCTGCTGTGGAAGGGGGTGGCTGCATGGATCACAGGGTGGCAGGAATCACAGCGTGGCTGTGGGCCGCTCTCACAGGAGTTGGTGGCAGTGGGAATTGAGATGCTGCTGCCCTGCTGCCCTGCCTGGCAGCCTGAGTCTCTGCCCGCGGTGCCAAGTGGCATCCTCAGATGAGTCCTTGCAAAAACCTCACCGCCCATTTTTCCTGCTGGGAGAATGGCAGTCAGGGAGTGATTTTGGCTGGCAGAGCGCTCAGACACTGCTCGGCTGGGTTGGAGTCACCACCCCTGAGCCTGGTGCCAGCCCGAGGCTCCGTGCTGCCATGTGGCTGTGGGGCGAGGGTGGCTCATCCTCAGCAGAGGCAGGAGGGTGAGCCTTGCCAAGCCCTGGCCTCACCCAGGGCACCGAGCGCCCCGCTGGTGCCAGCAGGAGGGACACAGCAGTGTCAGCTGCCACCCCTCTGAAGGCAGCAGGCTGGGACAGGCTCCTGAGGGACTGCCAGCCCTGCAGCCCAGGGAGCTGCCTGCGTTCCAGGCACGGGGGGCAGACAGGGCTAAACTGCTTGATCTGGGGCCGTGGAGCTTCCCAGGAGAGCCCGGGACTGTTAGCAGGGTGTCTTGTTGTGCGTTTTGGGCATGATTCCCCTTTTTGTGGATCCTCTGGGAAGTTACTGGTGTGTTCTGGCAAGCGTGGGGACCCAGCTGTGCTGGGAGCTGCACAAGCAGCCAGGCCTGCTCAGAGCTCCGGGCAGACAGATTATTATCTTGATTTAACATCTGACAGCTCCCATCCTGCTCCCAGGGGCCAGCCCAGGCTGCCAGCAGAATCAATCGGGGGTTGGTCGCAGCATCCTCGGGCTCAGCCCAGATCACCCCACCTGCTCCCCTTCCTTCTTTCCAGTTCCAAACCCGAGCCACTCGACCTTCCCATGGTGAGGATGTGCTGATGGCTCTTACCCGTGTGACAGGAGCCTGTAATGGCTCCGGGAGCACAACCAAAGGCAGGAGAGCAGAGCCAAGGGCTGGCAAGAGGAGCCAGCGGCTCCCACTCGTTCTCTCCCCTCCCGGCTCTGCCCTGGGCTCCCTTGGACTCAGCACAAGCAAGCCCTGACCCCAGAATGGCTGCAGTTTGTGCTGTGTGCTGAAAGTTACTTGAAATGCCACTCTCCAGGACCGTTTCTGAAGCAATTTGCTGTTCAGCCTGGCTGGAAAGAGCCCTGAGCAGGCTCGTTCATTCAGCGCCTGCAATATTGACTCTTCTCTTTACTGCAGGATTAGAGAGCATTTGTCATCTCCAAAATGAATAACTTTTCTTCTCCTGGGAGGGGGGAGAAGCCTTGCCTCAGTACTGACATTTTGCACACCCAGCCCACAAACCTGCTTCAAATCCCAGATGATGATCTGGGAATTAAACCAGGGGCTTCAGTGTCTCTGTTCCATGAGCAGGGCCCACCCTGCATTAAACCCACAGGGAGAGAGGCCTGGGGGAGCTCTCACCTGCCCAGGTAGCAGCCCCATGGTTGTGTTCCTGCCACACAGCCCGACAGAAACTCAAGTGCCTCAGGGACGAGCCACAGCCCCAGCTCAAGATGGAGGAGCTGCGTTAACAAACAAACAAACCCTTAAAAATCAGAGCAAACCACCCGGCAGCACCAGAATAAGAAGGCAGAAGCTCAGACTTGCCAACTCATTGTCTAGAGCCCGACCAGTTCTCCCTCCTGTCCTGGAGATCACAGTACTCAACTCACAAACTCGCCCTGTTTGTCATTTGAGCTTCCAGAGGTGTTTTCAAGTCTTTCTCAGGCGGTCCAGGAGCCAGCAATGCTTTCCCGTGGGAATTCCAGCTTTTGTTAACAGGACTGCGTTCCCAGGAATGAAAGCAAGAGAAACAAACTCCAGCTGTTGCAAGATTTGGAAGAGCAGAGCCACGAGCGTTGCCGGCAGCAACCTTTCCAAGGGGCTGCACCACAAAACACCGACCTCGGCACCGGCATTGCTGCATTGCTTTGGAAGTCCTCTTACCTGGAAAGGAGCTGCTCTGGGGCCAGGAGATCCAGCCCAGGTGGGACACAGCCAGCCTTCCACGGGAGCAGCTACCCGGGCCAGGCACCTGCCCGTCCTCCTGAGACCGGGGAAGCACGAAGCTCAGCCTGGAGGTGCAGCAGGAGGTACAGCTGAGAGCTGCGGAGGGTTGGCGGGTGCACGATGAGATCCAGGCTGGAGAAGTGTCCCCTCACCATAAACCTGAGGATGGTGCTGGCCAGGAGCGCTGGGAGAGGACCTGGAGGCTTTGAAGACAGTGTTCTCCAGGCTGTAATTAGCCACTGGCTTCCCCCACCCCTGATTATGCAGAGGAGGGAAGTGGCAGAACCCACCAGTCTGCCAGCGAGGGAGGAGGCAGCTCCAGTCCTGCCCCCTGCCACCCCGGGGACCCCTGCCACCCCACGGGGCACTGTCTGGGCTCTGCGTGTGGGCAAGACCAAGGCACTGTCTGGAAAGGGATTCACTGTGGGTCAGGGCTGCTGCAAGATTAATTAATTCATTAACTGGAGTCAGCCCAGAAAAAGGAGGATGCGATGGCAGGACACCCGGTGGCTACCGGCCCACTGCCAGCCCGTCTTCTCCCAGAGGACCATCTGCACCCTCTGGGGATGTCAGCCCTTTGCAGGACACCCCGGTGACACTCCAGCTCCTCTGGAGAGCACGTAGTGACAGTTCTGGATCCAGCCCTTGGACAGGCTCAGCACCCCGGGGCGCTGGCTTTGGGCTGGTGTGACTCCCCAGCCTATGCCAGCACTCAGAATCCCCAACCAAGGAGCAGTGGGAGAAGAGGAGGGGGTTTTATTTCACATGAGGTGATGCACCCTGGCTGTACCCGGCATCACAGAGGCTGAAGGGGCAGCCGGTGCCCCTCCCTGTGCCCTGCCAGGAGCCTCTTGTGCCATCAGCCTTCCCGGCTGTGTGAGTGCTTTGTTCCACCTTCAGCGATTTTCTCCTTTTTTTTCCTGCACTCAGCAACGCCCGGGAAGAGGCTTTTCATTCCTTTTCCCTTTCTCTGCCCCAGCACAATGGCAGGAATGGCAGCGTGAAGAGCAGCAGTGTTGGATTACAGCGGGATGCGGTGGGATAACGCGGGTGTGCCGGGGCACTCTCCCGGGAGCAGAGCGGGGCACTCCGGGCTGGGCAGGAGGATGCGGGGCTGCAGCCCTGGGCACGGATGAAGGCTCCCACCTGCCGATCTCAGCCGGAGCCGCTGCCAGCCCGGGCAGACGAGCCCCTTGCGTTTCCCAGCTCCCCGCACGGCAGCAGCTGCTCAGCCCGGTGTGTGTGGGCAGCAGCGTGGCTCTGTCACATGCCTGGGACAGCACGGTGGCATCCCAGCCACCTCCAGCACGGCAGGGGACGCGGCAGCGGGTGCCGTGCTGGCTGTGCCCCAGCGCCGGGCACCATCAGCCCCCAGGCGCGTGCTCTGTGGGCACGGCAGCCTCATCTCTAGCTGCAAGAATGAGATTCTCCTCAAAATATTCCCTCCTTCTGGCTGAGAGCTGCTCTGGATCGGGGGGGAGCAGTGCCGGCCATTCCGAGCCCCGGGGATGTCCTGTGTACCTGGGATGGAACAGGTTGGACGGAGCAGCTGTGGCTGCCCCTGGGTCCCTGGAGGTGTCCAAGGCCAGGCTGGATGGGGCTTGGAGCAGCCTGGGGTGGGATGGGATAGAGATGAACAGGTGTTTATCCCCAGAGTTTGCAGAGCGAGCCCAGCCTGTCACATGCAAATCCCCGGATAAGTTCCTGCCTGCAAACAGGAACCACTTTATGGAAAGCAGCAGAGCCCTTCCCAAACAGCCTCAGGGGTGCTCTGGCTCCTCCAGGAGCAGCTGGAGGCTCTGCCAGGCTCAGGGCTGCTTTGGGGTGGCACTGCTCTCATCCAGCAGTGTTTCCCAGGTGATACACCTCCACTCAGGCTTCCAGGAAAGGAAGGGGATGGTGGTCCCATCCTCAGCTTTTCAGGAGCACGGTGCTGTGGCTCTGGATCAGCTCTGCCCCTTCCCATTCAGAGGAACAGGCTTGGGCACCATCAGAAGGACACACCTGCCCCAGCTCTCTGGGCCTGGGTGGATGCTAAAGGAGACATTAGAGCAAATTAATTACTTAAGTGACTTAATTCTTTTCGAGCCATGACTTCTGTGCCAGCCTCAGATTCCTCTGGGCTCACCGTGATTTTGAGCGCCGTGTTGGCAGGAATTGGTGACACGGTGGTGTTGGCAGCAAGTGCCACCCTGAGTCCTCCGTCTCTGTGTGGGGAAGCCGTGCTCCTCCCTCCCAGCTCTTGGACCCTCACCTGTAATGCCAGAGCCCAGTGCAGCTCCCAGTCCAATCCGTGCTCTTTTGTCTCCCCAGCTCGGCGTTGGACACGCTCCCTGAGCCACCCCAGCCTCAGCAGCCCGGAGCACCGCGGTGCCGTCCGTGACCTAGGGCAGGACTTGGTACAAAACGTAAGTGCCCAAATCCTTTGCATTGTCAGTAAGAGCTGCTTGAGAGCAGGGATTTCCCCTGCTCAGAGAACTTGATTCCTCTGAAAAAACACACCTTTCCTTGCTGCTCCAGCTGGGTGACTGCAGTGGGGGGAAGCTGAGCACTCGTAGCTGCAGCAAAAGCCTCGTTGGGGCAGGAACTTTTGCAGCTTTAGGTCCACAGCTTCAGAAGGTGCTCAAGTAGCTGCCAGCAGGGAAGAGCCACGGAGGAGGCCACGTTATGCTCATTAAGTTTCTGTGCCACAGAGCCAGAAATCCACTGGCAGCACCACCAGCCACTGCTGGGACCTGCGGGTGCTTCCCAGAGGGCAGACACTGAGGGCTGGGGAAGCCACAGCCCTTTAAAGGACCTTCTTAACATAATTAGGAATTGCTGGAGGGACAGATTCCTGTCCCCAAGGCCCCAGAGCATCCCCCAAGTCCCTTCAGCTCTGCCAGTGCCACCAGGGTGGGCTCAGAGGTACCTGGGCAGGGACTGCCCAGGCTGCACAGACTGGAGCCTTTCCCATGCCCTTCTCCAAACAGAGAACACACAGACTGGCAGATTATTGATACTCCAGGGCTCGTCCCCTTGCCTGCAGCTTCTCCCCTGGCTTTGGAGGTGCCCCAAAGGAGCAGGGGGAGTCCGAGCAGGGACCCTCCAGGCCCGTGGGCGATCCCAGGCCTCGGCAGAGCGTGTCTCTGTGCCAAGCATTAGTCAGGCACTAAAGCAGGACAAGAGCCTCCCCTGTCCCAGCCTCTGCTCTTGGGTTTTACTCCCAGCTTCTGACATAACCAGGTCACTCTTTCCACACTTCCCCTGCTTCCGTGAGAGCCGATGACTGATGGGGATGGACGTGACTCACCGCCCTTCCTAATGAGCCATTTTCCTCTCTTGATGTGCTTTGGCGGGGCCTTTCCTACACCTAAAAAGGAGAAGGGTGGCACTGGGGAGAGGTGCTGGAAATTGCTGGCATCTGCTGTTCCTCACCATCCCTTTGAACTGTGGCCAGCTGTGAGGCTGCTGTGTTCAAGTACGGAAAAGGTGCAGCTCCTCCTCCACGTGCTGGTCCGGGTGAGATGCTGTCCGGGCCCACAGGTAAACCCTTGGCGATTAATTGGAGTTAATTAGGCTGGAAGGTTTTGTTGTTGCTGTCTGTCCAGGCAGTGCCTGGGGGACAGCAGTAATGAGCACTGTGAGCCCAGCCCCACATTCCCCAGGGAGCTTTGCCAGGCCACAGCAGGGCGAGCTGGGCTTTCCTGTTGCTGGCACAGACACGGCGAGGGACGGCTCCCCGCTCATGTTCCTCACTTGTGTTTTGCAGTGACTAAGCAGCGGGAGCTCTCGCTGTCCTGCCGCCACCAGGCCAGACGATCCCTCCCTTGGCTGCACATCCCCTTGGCTCTCTTCCCATAATGGAAGCCTGAGTGCCAAGATCCTCCATGACCTCCAGAAGCCACAACTCCCTGCCGAGAACTCTGATGGCTCCGCGAATGCTCTCCGAAGGTGCCCTGGGGGGCATCGCCCAGATCACGCCCTCGCTGTACCTGAGCCGGGGCAGCGTCGCCTCCAACCGGCACCTGCTGCTGTCCCGGGGCATCACCTGCATCATCAACGCCACCATCGAGATCCCCAACTTCAACTGGCCCCAGTTCGAGTACGTGAAAGTGCCTTTGGCCGACATGCCCAACGCCCCCATCTCGCTGTACTTCGACAGCGTGGCCGACAAGATCCACAGCGTGGCGCGGAAGCACGGCGCCACGCTGGTGCACTGCGCCGCCGGCGTCAGCAGGTCGGCCACGCTCTGCATCGCCTTCCTCATGAAGTACCACAAGGTCTCCCTCTTCGAGGCCTACAACTGGGTCAAGTCGCGGCGCCCCGTGATCCGGCCCAACGTGGGCTTCTGGAGGCAGCTGATAGACTACGAGAGGAAGCTCTTTGGGAAGACCACGGTTAAAATGGTACAGACACCCTATGGCATCATCCCAGACGTTTACGAGAGAGAGAGGAGACCCCTGATGCCTTACTGGGGAATTTAATGGGACCGCAGACGGGAAGCACAACGGGAGGGACGCGCTCTTCCGAGTCCACCAGACTGGAGACGTTCCCTTCTCCTTCTACGGCCAACTTTGGTTCTTTACCATACAGCAGAACCTCAATTCTCACCTCACTAACCTGCAAGGCCAACGATTCCCTTCAAAGCATTTTTCTCTATGGGGATTTCCCATCTGCATCTCCGATTTAGCAAAACCGGGTCTCATTATAAGTTTATTCCTTCCATTAAGCCTCCGTATTTTTTTTCTTTCATTTAGTCAAGTTTATTAGGATCCTCCAGGGAAGAGCCCAAGAGGCACTGGGCAGAGCGGGTGTCCCAAGTGCGCAGTAGTAGCCTGGATATTTTCTTCTAGCTTGTTTGCTTCCTTGCAAAACCCTGTAGTGGCTCAGGAGCAGCACCAGCGAGGCCCTGCTCCACAGCAGCAGATTTTCCAAGCACCAGGGAGGCAGGAATACAGGGGCTGTGGTGCTGGTGCTGGTGTTTTCTTTAACATCCGTAGTGACTCTCAGTATATAGTGTTTGAGATCTTTAGTCAGCTCTTAATCGTATTCAAAGTTAGGGGGAAAAAAAGGGAAAAAACAAACCAAGATTGAATCAGTCCATGTCAGCCACAAGTAAAATAAAAATTGAGCAATTTAAATCAAATAAATACAAGATCCTTTTTCACTCATTCCATACCAGGGCAATAGTCTTGGAATACACTTCCAACTACTGGAAAATGCTGGTGTGTTTTGTGGGTGTGGAAAGTTGACAGATCTTGTCCAGATGTGGCTCCAGGCAGAAGCGAGAGGGTTGATGCCACTGGGCAGCCAAAGAGACGCTCAGGAATGTGTGTGTGTCCCCTGCTGGGCTGGGCTGTGTGTGCCAGCATCCCTGCAGCCAGGACAGGGAGAATTCCCTGGTTCCTCTGCAGGGCTGTGCCAGCATCCCTGCAGCCAGGACAGGGAGAATCCCCTGGTTCCTCAGCAGGGCTGTGCCAGCATCCCTGCAGCCAGGACAGGGAGAATCTCCTGGTTCCTCAGCAGGGCTCTGCCAGCATCCCTGCAGCCAGGACAGGGAGAATCCCCTGGTTCCTCAGTGGGGCTGTGCCAGCATCCCTGCAGCCAGGACAGGGAGAATCCCCTGGTTCCTCAGCAGGGCTGTGCCAGCATCCCTGCAGCCAGACAGGGAGAATCCCCTGGTTCCTCTGCAGGGCTGTGCCAGCATCCCTGCAGCCAGACAGGGAGAATCCCCTGGTTCCTCTGCAGGGCTGTGCCAGCATCCCTGCAGCCAGGACAGCCCCAGGACAGGGTGAGTCCCCTGGTTCCTCAGCTCTGGCTCCGCTCTGGACCTGCCTTAGCCCATTCCTGCCTCTCTCCATTCCGTCCTCAAGGTTATGCTGCATTCCAGGGTTGCTCCTGTCTGTCCCACGGGGGATGACAGAGGCCTGGCCTCGCTCAGAGTGTGCCAGGAGTGACTCCAGCCCCAGCCCTTCCCTGGGAGAAGCCTTCCCGTGGCTCCAGGGGCAGGGACTGTGGAGTCAGGGTCACTTCCCTGGAGTGTGACTGGAGCCCAGGAGAGCCCCGCTCCTGAGAAGGCACCAGAGTTTCTGTTGCCTCTGGAGGAGGAGCAGGCAGAGTGCTGCGATTGCTGTCTGATTTAAATGAGATTCTATACTTGTAAAAAAAAAATCAATAAAGATTAAACCAGAACATGTGTTGGTTTCCTGTTCCAAAGTATGCTAATGGAGCTCCAGCAGCAGCCTGAGGCCCAGCAGTGCCTTTCAACAGCGGTGGCTGAAGGATGTTTTCTGCTTTTCTAGATGAGTTTGGCCCCACTGAAATAAAGGTGATCTTTGCCATCAGCTGCTCCCAGCTCGGCTTCCATGGCTGGATCCCAGTTCCAGTGGCAGGCAAACACAGGAGACTCATCTCCCACATTTAGCAGGAATTAAACTTCAGCCAGGGAAATGGTAAGCGAGGAACTAGAGAGTGAAAATAAAGATTAATCACTGGTCTGGAGATGTTCCAACACATGACATTTTAAAGGGGAAAAAATGCTAAAAACTGAAATATGCTCACAAAATTAAACTTTACCTAAAAATGGGCAAAGTAGGGTTTAACAGCATTTTTGGTATAAAAAAATGGGAGGTTAAAAATTCTCCACTTTGGATTATTCTTTAGATTTTGTGCACACACTGCCCGAGGACTGAGGGGAGAGGGAATGCTGATATTCAGCCAAGAAGGCACCAAGGCCTGGCTTTAAACACAAGGGAAAGTTACACCTATAAAAAGTGAAATTGCCTAATAAAATACATGAGGAAACAATTCACCTGAAATCCCCATTCAAGGTTATATTACAGTCTTAGTGCTTGTGGGGATTTCATTGCAAAAGCTCCTCTTGAATTCACTACAGCAAAAGATTTTACACAAGTGTTTTCCCCCTTAAAATCCAGTTTTTTCTCCATTCTCAAATGTACAGAAACCAAAGAAAAAAGAGCCCTGGTTTGCCTTGGATTGCTCTGAGCACACCCACTGGCTTTGAGAGGAACACTCCTCCTGCTCCCCACAGGCTTTTCCAAATGGTATCTTAATTGTCTGGAAAATATTTTATATCTTCCAGTACTTGGTGAGACACCTTCCCCATCCCAGGCACAGAGCAGGTTTCACTTACATTTTGATGTAAATATTTCAGCTTCCCAGGCTGGTCAGATATGAAACGAGCTTTTTATTGAACACCAGGTTTGAATCTCAACAGAGAATTTCTAAATCATTGCAGGAATTAAGGGAGTAAACAAGGTACTAAAGTCAATTAATAACACTTATTCTCACTGGATTTAAAATATCAGCAGCAACTCCAGCACAGCACAAACCCAAACAGCTCCAACTAATAATCACAAAACCACTTCTGGAAGAAAAATAACATTTGCCCAGAGGGCAGGAGAAGAAACACAATAGAAAGAGAAGTTTTCTGATTGTTCTTCTTCATAAAATGATGACATTCCTATTTTAACATTGAGAACTGGAATTAAATACAGGTGCAGAATTGAAAGTAAACCCAAAGCAGCAGTTTGTACAATAGCAGCTTTTATTGGAAAGGCAGGTTTTGTTTCAAGTGGATGATTCCCAGTGCAGCTGACAGGACTCGGAGCAGTCCATGGGTGCCCGTGAGCTCCTGGGGAGCTTCACCCTCACCCCTCGGCCTGCAGGGACTGCAGGAAGGAGCTGCTCCCCCCAAACCAGCCAGGAGCAGCTGCTGCCAGGGAGGAAAGGCCCTTGGGGAGTGCAGGAGGTGGCAATGCCCAGGGCACGGGTGGCCTCCGAGGGGCTGCAGGGACTCAGCCCAACACCAGGAGCAGGGGAAGGGCTGGAGCAGCCCCAGCAGCAGGGAGAAGCTGCCAGGGCAGGGCAGCACCAGGAACACATTAAATAAAGCCATTTAAATACATTAAATAACCGAGCTAATAATTCCTCAGAAGTCCAAACGTACACACAGAGACAGAAACTCCACTTTCCACAGGTCACGCCAAGGCAGCCCCTTCTATCTATCTACACGTAGATAAAAAAACAAAGAAAATCTCATTTCTCTTCTCCAGTGAGAGAATCCATGCAGGAAAAAGAGCTACAGGTCTGAAATTGGACACAGGCAAAGGGAAGGCAGCAGGGAAGGTGGGCTGTGACAATCCTGTCACCTTGGATACAGCTTGGAAGGACACTGGGCTTTGGCTGGCAACAGCATCCGAAAGGATGCAGAATGCTCCGTGAGTCACTGGGATGACTGGGATCTGCAGCTGATGCTCCTCGTGCAGTGCCTCTACCCAGGGGACCTCCGTGCAGCTTTCCCTGTGTTCCCAGGGCTGAAGCTGCTGGGAGCAGAGCCCTGCCTGCCCCACAGGACAGGGATGGGCCTGCTGCTGTCCCTGCTGCGGGGGCAGGAGAGCAGCAGTGTCACCCTTCAGTGAGCTCTGCTGCAGCTGGAATTGTAAATGTCCATTCCTTTCCTTTTTTTATGGGCCAAAAGAAACGGCTGCAGCTCAGGGAGGGGCTCACCTGGTGACAGGGACAGAAAAACCAGCGTGGAAGATGCTCCTGTGATAATACAGCTGGTGCTTTAAATTTCACACCATGGCCTCTTATTTGTGGCATTTTCTTTCAATTAGGGGAAAAAATTCCTCTCTGGCAAAGTGCTGGGGAGCTGTGGTGGCTGACAGTAAACTCCCTTTTCCCAGTACAGCATTCCCTCAGTGCCAGCCTCTCCCAGCCACTGGGAATAGCTGCCAGTGGCTCCCTGACCCCAAACTCCGGTGGGAGCACTGCTGAGGGGCACAGCAGCCTCACTGTGCTGGAAAACAAGGGCTGTGGGCACAAGCTTGGTGCTGGAGCTCTCTCCCACCTAATAAATGAAAGGGAGGGAAGCAAGGAGTTGTTTCCCTGCTTTTTTGGTAATTACTGGGCAGGATGTGGGAAGCACAGCACGGGAAATCTGCCTCTGGATCAGCTGCAGCTGGAGGCACACGGTGCTTTACTTCATGAATGAGCTAATTTGAGGCAGCAAGGAGATTTATGGTAATTGGTGTAAGGAAGGAGCCAGACACCTCTGAGCCAAGATTCTTTCATTTGGGCTAATTAATAGTTTTGTTTAACTAAGCCTGTTTGTTTTTTAAATACAAAGCATCATTCTCCTCATTGTAATTTCTGTTTCAGCAAATAACCACAGGTCAATGTCAGGTACTTGTAATGGGGGAAGGATTAACTTGGAGAAGCTGTTGAGCTCTCTGGAGGAAAGGAACAGATCGGAGAGACTAAGCCAAAGAATTAAGGAGAAAGTTGTACCCTATGGATTTACACTCCCTGCAGACCTAGACAGGGCCATGGGACGTCTCTTGTAACACCATGAAGCTCCCCCAGGTTTAAAATCCCGTAACCAGCACTCCATGGACTGCATAGTCCTCTGGATATTGGATCTGAAGGAGGAACCAGGTGCTTTGGATGTACAGGTAACATTTAGTGAGAGTCTGTGGAGGTGTCCAGAGGCACCTCCAAAAGCCACCAGCCAGCAGGGACACAATGCCTTGCTGAGACCACCAAATTCCAGGGTTAAATCCCTTTGGGTGTTACATCTCACTCCCTGCTGCAGGAGCCAGGGGCCACCTTGTGCTGCCAGCTCTGAGTCACAGGAACACAACACGTTGCTACAGGTAGCAGCAGACTGCAGGAGTCACACACAGCCCTCCCATCCCATCAGAA